AGGGGGGGAACTTTGTGGAATGAAAAGATAATCACCTGAGGGGTCAGGTGAGCACAGCCACCCCTGGGCCTGGGGGCGGCAGAGCTCTTGGTGGTAGCGGGGACGTTGCAGAAGCGAGGAGGGAAAGGGTTAACGGGTTGGGAGCCAGCTGTTTCTAGACCAAGAGGACGTAAAAGTCCAGACTCGTATTTATAGTGTGTAAGGCGCAGAGTGTTGCTTTCTCCACTGTTTTGCAAAATCACACCTGCTTTAATCGGCGGAAACGGGCTTGAAGACGACAAGCCGGCAGACTTGTCAGACCTTCTGTCTTCTACCCAACTCCCCACCCTCCTGATCCCCCCAAAAAGAAAGTAGAACCTTTCTTTACCTTTCCTCTCTTTTTATTTCATTGAGAAGTGAAAGGGGAAGGGAAAAACTTAGGTTTATAGGAAGGACACACACACACACACACACACACACACACACACAGCCAATAATATAGAAGAAATAAATGGCAGAATCCACCTAAAAAAAATGAACTTTCATTGTGTCTGTGTTTTTGTTGTGTTTTTTTGTTTTTGTTTTTGTTTTTTTTGCTTAATTAAACCCCAAACAAATGTGTGAAACGCTGTGATGGCTGAAAAAATTGTTCATCTGTAAATCTCGGGGACAAAGGGCCCCTGAGCAACTTTCAAGTTTCCGAGCACGTAAATGTCGATAGCCAGCCTTCTCCATCATCAGCACTAAATTCACACTGATGCCTCTTTTCTTCTCGGTATTGATCCTTCCATGAGAACGTAGATTTGTATCTGTTAATTAATGCGTCCTGAAACAGCGTTTGTATTAATCAGGCAGATAAGAAAAATTGGATGCCTGCACCCTCCTGACAACCGTAAAAGTGCTGGCCCTGATAAAATCGTGGATGGGCCTCAATAAAAAAGTTCCTCCTTCCACTCAATAAACTAATCATCCCGCTTTTAATTATTCGGCAGAAAGATGTGTGGAGATTGGGGAATGTGTAAATCTATTTACTAACAGTGGCGGCTGGGAGGGAGGGCGGCTGTCACGGGTAGGGGCCGCGGGCGGCGGCCCCGTCCATCTGCTGCTGCGGGGAGCGGCCGGCGGGGGCCGAGCGCGTTGGAAATGCCCTTTCGCTCCTGACTTCCTAGAGGGCCGCTGGTCTTTTCACCCGTTGAGTTTACAAAAGAAATCCCCAGGCCGTCCCTTTTCTTGAGCTCGCTGGTTGGATGTGCACCGCATCTTTTCTCCTGGGGCGCAGGGGTGGGGGGTAGAGATAGGAAAAAAAAAAAAGAGCAATGTCGTTTGTTCGTGGTGAGCAGAACCTTCTCTAAACCAACAGCAAGTGGAGCCGAGCCCGCTCAGGTTGGATTGGCCCTTTTTCTCTTCGGAATCCCTGTTTAAAATGTTGTCAGTTGTTGTAGAGAGGATTTTAGGAGGATTTTATTAATTGAACCTCAGATTGCAAAGACCAAAAAAAAAAATAGAAAAAAAAACCTTAAACAGCCAGGCCCAAAGGAAGACNAAAAAAAAAAATAGAAAAAAAAACCTTACACAGCCAGGCCCAAAGGAAGACCTGTCCGGTGATGTGTCCGCAGCTTGCTAAACAAGGGAAGAGATGCTTTTTATGGGCGCCTGCAGACCCCCTTACGTGAGGCTCGCCCGATCTCTCTTGATGATTTTATTAAACGCTCCTAGTTACTGGAGCCAAATGGCAGGGTACTAGTTGTCACCAACGGGCCAGGAAACCTTTTCCTGATCGCACTGTCATTCCTCATATCACGTGGGACAGGAACGGTTTGATATGAACAAAAATGACAAAAACAATGACCCTAGCAAGAGCCTAGGAAGGTTGGGCCGCGCCGCGCATATTTGGTTAGGGTAATAGGGCCTAGCAGGGGAGTAAAAATAGATTTTATAAGTTGCATCATCCAGAAATGCCCCCCTTCTTAGAGATAATGGCTGGTGGCAGTGCCTTAAATCATTGTTCCCAAAGACCAGGAGTGGTTGGTTACATTTGGAATTCCTGGGCATAACCTTGGACATGAAAGTAAAGTTTTAAAAAAGAAACATTTAAAAAAAAAAATACTGTTGGAAAAGCATATGGCTGAATATCAGGTATAGTCACGAAGACTTTATTCCTTAAATTTCTTGCGGAATTTCGACCTAGTCCCGCCAAGCTATGAACATCTCTCTTTACTCCTAAGTAGGCTGAATTGAACTACTGCCTCCTGTTGAGCCCGATTTTCTGTTTAATATGTATGTTTGCGTGTGTTTTCTCAAGCTCAGAAGGGACTGTAAGCACGCATGTGTAAATGCAGACCGGATTTTAAGTAAAGAATTGAAAACAGTCATGCAGGTATTTCAGATAAAAATACTATCTGATGTAGCCACACTTACTGAATTCGTATTACGGATCCATCTTGTGTTGGTTTTTATATTTTCCAATAAAAAAAATCAAGGCACAGGTAAGTTGTCGTGCTCAGGATGAAACAGCCAGTAGCTCAGTGGAGCCAATACTTAAATTCCAGTCTGGCTCTGCTCATGTCCTCCCCCCAAAACCCCGCTGCCCTCGTATTTAACTTTTTTAAATAACTGGATCTTAATCCCAAGAATAAACTCTCTCTTCTCTTTGGTGAGGAGGCCAGGATGCTAAGCACTCCACTCTCTTTTATGCCAATACTCACCGTTTTAAAAAAGGAATTCATGTTAAAAATGAATGGGGGCAAATATCCAATTACAAAGGCTCTTTTGATGTAAGAGTGCTCCCCATTCACTGCGCTTGTGACTGTCATAGAGAAATGTTTCCCAATTTCACTCCACCGCATGACCTAAATGATTTGTTTTCCTTCATTTTTGGGCTTTTAAAAAAAGAAACGTTCATGTTATCAATAGTGGCTTTGAGAGATGCGCTCATTGAAAATCTGACTTCCTAGGAGAGAGTCATTGAGCCAGAAAATCAAGCATATTTAACGATGACGTTTTTATATTTGTTTTTTGTTTTTTTTTAACTGAAAGGTGCAAAATTCTCTATTGTATTCCTCTCAGCCCAGCCTACAAACCCTCGGGGGAAACACCCCCGCGTTGCCTTGAGGCTGGTTGGTGACTTTTACTTCGCCATGTGCAGAATGACCGGGGGCGAATCTAAGGGAGGCTGGTGCGGAGGCCGAGCGCCGCTGGGCCCGGTGCGTCCCCGCGAGGCCCCGGCCTGGCAGGGGCTTAATGTGCCGTCTCCCCTGCAGGCTTCTCCACGCTGTCCCTGGCCGACCAGATGAGCCTCCTGCAGAGCGCCTGGATGGAGATCCTGATCCTGGGCGTGGTCTACCGCTCTCTCTCCTTCGAGGACGAGCTCGTCTATGCAGACGACTATATCATGGACGAAGACCAGTCCAAGTTGGCCGGCCTCCTTGACCTAAACAATGCCATCCTGCAGCTGGTCAAGAAGTACAAGAGCATGAAGCTGGAGAAAGAAGAGTTCGTCACCCTCAAAGCAATAGCCCTCGCGAATTCAGGTTGGCACATTGACGTGGTCGCTCTTACGTTGTTTTGATATGTCAGTTTCACCCTTTCCCTTCATTTCTTTTTTTTTTTAATGTGTTTTTTTATTGATTTCAGAGAGAGGGAGAGAGAGAGAAACATCAATGATGAGAGGGCCATGGATCGGCTGCCTCCTGCATGCCCCCCGCTGGGCATCGAGCCCGCAACCCGGGCCTGTGCCCTGACCGGGAATCGAACCGTGATCTCCCGGTTCATAGGTCGACGCTCAACCGCTGAGCCACGCCGGCCGGGCTCCCTTCACTTCTTCAGAGATTTGCTAGGCCCTGTTGTAAATTCTGTATGAATCAGCAAAATCAGAATCATGATTCCTTTCCAGTGAACAGTTTATAAATGAGAAAAATCAACTTAATGGGGATGGTTTTTATTATACAGGGTGTCCCCCAAAAGCGTACACACACTTCAACAGCTCATAGCTCAGTTTTGCAAGTGAAATGTATTTTAATAAGCACTGCCTTTATAATTATTCAAAGCGTGTGTGTACATTTTTGGGTGGGACACCTTATATCTGCCTGTTGCAAGCTGTGGAATTTTTGCTACCTCACGCACTTACTAGTTTGTAGTATATATAGGGACACTCTCAGGGCAAAATTAGCTCAGTTGTCTTGTGTGGGCAAATGAAAATAAGCGTGAATCACAAATACGCACAAACCATTTCTCCCCCCTCAAAAAAAAAAATGCAACTTTTGCAATTAGAAAAAAACAACAACAAAAACGTATTAAGTGTTGTTTTTAATTTTGGTGATCAAAGAACACTCTGTTTTCTCACCTCCCGGAATTCCCTAGAAGTCAGATTCTGCTGAGGGCGCGTCCCCCTCCCAGGTCCTCCCTGTGCAGGAGGGGTTAAGAGTTATGGGAATAAAGTCTTTATGTTTGAACTGAAAAGTACTAAAAGAGGGAGCAGCCTCCTAAGTACAGGTCGTTGGCGCTTTGGCGCTTTTCCCTGCGTGCCTCTCCCGATGCTTTCTTGTGGCCTCAGCCTGTTTTAGTATCTGCGTCAGGTCCCGGATAGATCCCTCCTTAATGACGTGCCGATCGTTAGATACCTGCACGTCGATAGCGCGGCTCGGAGGCTGGGTACCATTGACAGTCACACGGCGCCCCTCCGTCCGCTTTTGTTTTGACCCTGTCTTTGAACTTTATCTTGGTTGCCGGCCAGTAGTTTCCCCTTTAATTACAAGAAGGAAACTGTCAATAAAATCTGTTAAATGGGATGCAATGAGTGGCTTGAATGGGCGGATGGCTATTTGTTCAAATTCTGCAGCGTTCAAGGTATTGACAGTTTGTTTTCTGGGGGCCATATGTGGCGATCAATCTCAGGCTGGGCTCAGCCGCGCTGAAAAATGAAAAACCAGATTGCTTTTGCTTAGCCGGGTCTGAGGACTGGGTGATCTGGCGCGGACCTGGGGGGGATGAANCTGGGGGCCATATGTGGCGATCAATCTCAGGCTGGGCTCAGCCGCGCTGAAAAATGAAAAACCAGATTGCTTTTGCTTAGCCGGGTCTGAGGACTGGGCGATCTGGCTCGGACCTGGGGGGGATGAGTCCTTCTGCCCAGATTGCCCCCGTGAGAGCTCGGGCGACGCGTGACTGTTTTTTAGAAATAATTTTTAATTGATTTTGTAATTAACAGTTCATCTGCAATGTCGATGCACACGCATCCTTGGACGGACAGGAGGGAGGCGGTTTTTCCACAGTGAAGTGGTACTTGGCGGTCTGTCTTTACGGCGGGGTTGGCGATTCGCACTTGTAATTGTGAGCCCAGCCGTCCCCCCCACACGCCTGGTCCTCTCCTCCTGTCTCCCCGGGAAATGTAAAGTGTGATTCATCGTGACAAATGGCGCTGCTTGCTGTTGCAGACCACCGAGAATCCCTGGTCCTGCTCCCTAGAAAACCAAAGTGGGAAATGGGGGAACCGTTTTCTGAGAATTTGCTAGTTTGCAGAGACTTCCCTGTATGGCCTCTCCCGTGATGAGATGAAAGAGTTGGGAAAGACCTTTTATTTGGTAACCATATAGCGCTTCAAATTTAGACATTTACTTGAATATTTATAAAGTTCAGCAAACCTGTTTTGTAGCTTTTTTGTTTCAAGTTGCTTGTGTCCCGTTATTAGCTGATCATGAATGCTGAGTGATGCTAAGCGTTGTATCATCGANCCCGTTATTAGCTGATCCTGAATGCTGAGCGGCGCTAAGAGTTGTATCATCGGAACAGCTGAAATTTTTATAATTTCAGAAGTGAGGTTACGCATGCTTTACGGCCATGGATTATAGCCTAGGGCGTCCGAATTAACGGCAGCATTTCTGCCCCTGTGGCTGAGCAGTGTGATCAGTAATATTCTTACAGAAAAATATTCGAACCCCACTCACCCTTCTGTTAGGGGGAGGAAGGGACCTAACTATGGTGATCAGGGTATTTAAAGAACTAGTTAGTTGGTGTTTCTTGTTGGAAGCCAGAAATAATTCGCAGGCCCTCCCATTTCCCTTTATTACGGTGTTGTGTAGCGTGACTTTTTCAAAGAAAATCCCTCCATGCCCCGGAATTTCCCTGCGTGTTATGTGAACAGGCTTTGGGCCCCTCAGTGCTGAGAGGAGCGGAGCCAGCGTCCGCAGAGACAGAGAAATNGCCCCTGTGGCTGAGCAGTGTGATCAGTAATATTCTTACAGAAAAATATTCGAACCCCACTCACCCTTCTGTTAGGGGGAGGAAGGGACCTAACTATGGTGATCAGGGTATTTAAAGAACTAGTTAGTTGGTGTTTCTTGTTGGAAGCCAGAAATAATTCGCAGGCCCTCCCATTTCCCTTTATTACGGTGTTGTGTAGCGTGACTTTTTCAAAGAAAATCCCTCCACGCCCCGGAATTTCCCTGCGTGTTATGTGAACAGGCTTTGGGCCCCTCAGTGCCGAGAGGAGCGGAGCCGGCGTCCGCAGAGACGGAGAAACGAGTTAGCGCCTTACATGCGGCCTTACATGCGGTTTCCATTCCTACGGAGCCGGCTCTCCTGCGCTATATAAACATGGCCTTTCTCTTGCCCTTGAACCTGGAAGCTCCACTATTCTAACCTGGGATAAATGACTCAGAAAGTCCTTTTCTCTGATACTGTATATGATGCCATTCATTCCATCTTTTTACCATTACTGGGAGGACAGTGATAAACTTTGCAGATGTGTTGATGTTTGGATCCAGTGATTTTTATTTTTTTAAACTGCTCATAAATACATCAGTACAGAAATGCTTTCATAATATTCCTAGATTCCTAAAGCTCATAGGTTTTCTTTTAGTATCTAGAAATTTCAGATCAGCGGAAGTGACTGTTGGTGCAAAAAATTTTAAAAAAAGCTATATCAGCGTTATTTAATTGATAGGCATCTTAGCAGTCCCTATGTGGCTGTAGGTGTTAACAACCATTGTCTCATTAATCTAAATTTCAGCTTCTTTTAAACATCTGTCTTGATTCGATAATTATAAATGTTGTGCTTAGGCTCGGGAAACAGGGGATTGGCTTCCTGATAATGACTGTCATATTTTTTGTAGCCGTTTCTGTCATATGTGAATTCAGGAATAGTTAGAACCAGTGGAAGAATAGTTCCTGTCTTCAGGTATATGACCAAAAAGTCCCCCAAAACACCAATATAGCATAAATTGATACTGTCATTCTCACATTCAAATAATTGGAAACCCTATGTAACTGTTCCAATTATTTTTGAAGGTTAAAAAAAGAAGTCAGAGTCTCACTTAAATGAGGTATTCGCTTATTTTTAAATTTATCTTTATTGTTAAAGGTATTACAGATGCCCCTCTCTTTTTTTCATTGATCCCCTCAGAATGCCAACAGCCTCCTGATCGCATCCCCGATACCTCTCCGTGGGATGGAGTTTTAAAAGTAAAATTGAAGTCACCGTTTTAACATTGTAATTGTTAGGCCCAGTTTTCTTGACGTAGAATTTTTTTTTCATGTGGGGAACCCTGTGATTCTGTAATTAATTTCATGCCTTTATTGGAAAATGCAGTGAAATGTTACTACAAGCCTTTTGGGTTAGATTATATCGTGATGGGATTCCCTTCTCCCGATCGGTTCTATTGTTTTGTTTTTTTGTAATTTATCTTTATTGTTGGGTTTTTAGTTTTGGGATCTATTTTTCTCTTGATTTTTATATGCACATTTAGAGAGATTAAACTCTTTTGCTTCCACAGCTGCTATCTTCCTCGAATCCAGTTTACCTACTTTTAACCAAAACTTTATGGTTGGCACCTTTTTTTAACAAGTAAGGCCAACTCCTACGTTCATCAAGAGCCAACTTGCCATGACCGTCAGCCAGCGCCCCCCAGCTCAGTACCCCAGCCCCTGAGAGCCAGAGGACTGCTCCATTAGACCCCTTAAGTATTGTTTATAAAAACTCTGAAACACAGATTCTCTTTGAGAGAAGAGGCTTCTGGTCACTTCTCTGTCATTTTAGTCATATCGTGTTTCATTCCTTTAATGACTAGAGACGGCGTGAAGTCCTACTTCACAGAGTAAAATGTTGGAAGTTAACGAGCGGGTTCTATTTTATCATCAGGTGTTGAAACTTAATATACGGATGATACCATATGTATCTTTCATCCCTGGTTATCTTTTAAAATTTTGATTACATTAGAATAGCATTTGTTTGTCTTACTGCCTCGTTCAATAGTCTTCAACTGTAGCTTGGCCATAGAGTCATCTAGATTTTAACAAATACTGATGTCCTGATCCAGCCCCAATTTTCTGATATAAGAGGCCTGGGCTTGGGCCCAGGCATATGAGATTTTTTGTTGTTGTTGTGTTCTTGTTGTGTTTGTTTGTTTTTTACCAACTTAGGCATCATTTTTAAAATATAGCCTCCCCCGTCTAGTTGGTTCATAAATCAATGATTTTCATTATTAAGTTTAGCTGTTTCTCATTTGCAAGAATACTGGGACTATTTCCTTTAAAAACATCAAGTTAAAAAGGAACCCTCACCTACAACCAAAGCTAAATGATTACATAAATTAATGGCAGTTCAGTGGAGCCTGGCATGCAGATATAAATTTAGCAAAAAGAACAGAGCGGGATGAAAGCTACGGAGCCAGAACTTGGACTGGGATCTCTAATGGAGATTAATATTTTCTTCAACAGTCTGCCGGCTGAATCATGGTCTAATTAAATAGTTCAGATTTAGTGAGTTTGCGTTTAAAGTATTAGCAGATCCGAGGACGGGTAAAGCTAAAATGAGTTAGAATCCTTCCTGCAAATGGGAAGTTAAATTATCATAGTAATTTGATTAAATCATTTTTAAATCTCACCAGCTAAATCACAGCCCTTAAAGAATAGTTTGAAGTCTTAATTGCTGTTTGTGAGCGTATCTCTCTGCTATTTGTTCTCGCCTCATTTCCTGTGACATCCTATAATATATCTCCCGCTGGGCCCAAGGAGCGGGGGAAGGCTAGACCTGGGGGGGCCCCCCGAGGTGACCGTGCCGCCGACCTCAGGCACGTGAAGACCCGCCACGGGGGAGGAGGGGTGTCCTGTCTTGTTCCAGGAGCTGGGGCCAGGACCAGAGTTCGGGCACTGGAGTCAGATTTGGGAAAATATGAAGAAGACATTTCTAATAATTAGCTCAGTTCCTTATCAAGCAGAACGCCCTACATATAATTGGAAATGTCTTCATGAAAATGTGGTAGAGAAGGTTCCTGGACAGGGTGAGTTCGAAAGACAATTTCAACTTTTTTTTTTTTAGAGAGAGAGAGAGAAACATTGATGGGCTGCCTCCTGCACGCCCCCTACTGGGGATGGAGCCCACCACCTGGGCATGTGTCCTGACCAGGAATCGAACCCGTGACCTTCTGGTGCACTGGTGATGCTCAACCAACTGAGCCGCACCGGCCGGGCTGAGCATGTCTTGAGTTCCAGTCCAGGCCCCCACCATCAGCATTTCTAACCTGCGAGAATTCCTTCTTTGTGGCTCCTTCAGGCCGGAATCAAGTCTTGGGCAGTAAACACTTATAAACGACTGTCTTCCAGATGATTCATAACTCTTTCAAATAAACGTGTCACCGGTCACTTAATGCAAATAGTGTCAGGTCACCAATAATGTGGTGAAATGATTCAAAATGACCATGTAAAGGGAAAAACACAACAAAGAAAATCTAAAAACATTACCACTTACAGTCGCAGTCAACCTTTTAATTACTTTGCCATAATTTTTTTTTTTTAATCGTACATTTCGCCACTTGACTTTAAATTACATTTCCTCTCTCTTTTTGTGCATGTGACCTGACATCTGAATCCTAGGCAAGATCAGGCCACCGCCATACGTCTTAGGACTCGGCATTCTCCGAGAACCGGAATTATTAAACACGCAGAATTCCCCCAAAGACCCCATTATGTATAATTAACAGATAAACTGTCATCAGAATCAATAAAACGTGCTAAATGATTCAAACTTGTATATAATTAAGTGTCTCTTTTAGAGCTAGAGCTGTAACTTTTACCCCACCCCCCCCAACCCCATCTCACATTTCTCCCAAGAACCACCGTGGGCAACCCTGTTAACCCTTTCCTTGCTTGACTGCATTAGATTTTTTTTAAAATTAAATTTCAGAACTCCTTCATTTAAAGGCTTTATTTGTGTTCCAGGAGAGAAACAGACTATTTAAGGAACTGTGCATAGTAAACGGAAAATTCTACAACGGGACCCGGTGATCGATCCAGGGTACTCCCAGGGGGGTCTCAAAATCTCAGTCATCAACATTTTTCTCTCCTTTGGGGAAATATGAGCATTTTCAGGGCAAGGTCAGAATTATAAAGAATTTTAAGTCCGCACCACCGGAAGTAATACTCTTAATAGACGGCCTTCCAGAATTGCAGAGTGGATGTGCACATGAATGGGGCAGTGACTGGAAGAGCCAAGATTATAATCTGTTCAAGGAAAGGTCTCTCTTGCTCATTCTTAAGAGGGGGGGAAAAAATCACACAAACAAACCCACACCTTTTATTTTTATTTTTATTTTTTTTATTTTTTAAGTATCTTTATTGATTTCAGAGAGAGGAAAGGAGAGGGAGAAAGAGAGAGAAACATCAATGGGAGAGTCATTGATCGGCTGCAGCCCGCAACCCGGGCCTGTGCCCTGACCGGGACTCGAACCCCAATCGCCTGGATCCCAGGTCGACGCTCAACCGCTGAGCCCCGCCCGGCCGGGCCAAACCCGCACCTTTTAAATAATGGATCTTTTGTCATAATTCTTATGTTCTCATGAAGCACTGCAAATTATCTCCTGTAGGGTAATTTAGACCAAAAAAACCCCACAAAAGAGCGTTTGGAAAGGCGAGACCCTGAGCCAGCCCCAGCCTAGAGAGGTTCAAGGGCCAGGCTTAGCTCTCGCGACTGTACCCCACGCAGGTTTTCGTGACTGTTAACGGTGCCGTCTCTGTGCTCTGCTTTGTCGCGCAGACTCCATGCACATAGAAGACGTGGAGGCCGTCCAGAAGCTCCAGGACGTCCTGCACGAGGCCCTGCAGGACTACGAGGCCGGCCAGCACATGGAAGACCCGCGCCGGGCCGGCAAGATGCTGATGACCCTGCCGCTGCTCAGGCAGACGTCCACCAAGGCCGTGCAGCACTTCTACAGCATCAAACTGGAAGGCAAGGTGCCCATGCACAAACTCTTTCTGGAAATGCTGGAGGCCAAGGTCTGACCCACGTCCTCCCGGGCCGCCCTCTCCTGCTCGCCGGAAAAGGGGAAACCAACCCGAGAAGAGTGAAGTCGAGGAAACTTTAGAGTTTAGTTACCGCCATCCGAAATCAGCCGAGACTGCGCCGGTCATGTAGCAGGAAAGCTATGAAGCAGCTTCCAGATGCCTCACCTGTTTTTCTCATTTCTCTCCCCCGCCCCCCCCCTTCTCCCCCTGTCCCTCTCTCA